GAAAGATCAGCTGCTTCTTGAAAAAGCACCTTTGGGACAAAACTAGTTAATTAAATGCATGAAGGTTTAAAAAAAAATGAAGGGCACGGTCGAACCCCCCCCCCCACATCTAGACTTCTTAATCTTTTTTAAAATGGACCAAGCCACCAAATGTCAGCATCAAAGAGCATCTGAAGGAATTGATTCTATTCAATTCTTGCCATAAAATAGAATGTTAGTGTTTCCAAGGACCTGTCTTGGCAATCAGCAACATCTGACTGTCAAGGTAGGTCAGAGTCACATAAGCAGTGTTTCAGTATTGTGTTGCAAGTTCTGTCCCTTTTCTGTGTGTGTTGTGATGTTGCACGGATGTCTAGGCTGGTTAATATTTGAATGGGAGACTGTCAGAAAATCTCACATAAACTGATCTCTAATTTCCAATGGAAAATCAGTAAAGTATATTGACAATATGATTTCATGGTTACTATACCAGAAAGCTGATCTATAAAATTTGGAGGGAAATCAGGTGGCACATATATGGGAATGTGAAATGCATGCGAAGGGCAACATGTTTTAATACTTTCCCTTGATAGGAAACCTCCTACTTATAGTAAATGAGTGTACTAAGGACAAGTTTAGGTTTAAAATCAGGGAGCAAGGACATGTTGGTTGGGTTCACTTAACATGCTAAACCATAATGTAGTTAGTGAGATGTGTGAACCGAGTCATAATTTTAAATCATGTGGTCCCCTCTTTATGTTTTGAAATATATATTTTTTCATGACGAGAAAAAAATACAGAAGTAGTTGGTTATAAGGACAAATAATGTTGCTTCTTGGGCCTTCTCTGCTGAAAATAATTTGCATACATTTGGGATGGGCAATCATTAAGATGCTTATATATGTGGAAATTATGCCTTGTTACATCCACCATTTTAAACATCTCCAGAAATGCTGAAATATATGTCCGTGGGATTAATATGGGAACTCCAAGATCTTTTTTTTCTTTCTTTCACTACAAGCTGTCAATTTTTTAATCATGCGGTGTAACATCCAGGATACATTTCAGAGGAGGGAAAGATGAGGAGGAAAAGCTTTATAGCATTAATGACATGATAGTATGGTCCTTTTAGATGAAAAAAATGGGATCTTTGTTTCTTAAACTACCTGCAGGCATTGCTAGAGAAAAGACTGGTGCTGTTAGTTGAGATAAAACAAAACAGTTCCTACCCCTCAAAGTAAAAACCATGTACTGAATCTGATTCCAGATATGGTGCAGTAAGATAAGAAAAGCCAAAACTGATATGCAGAATGTCAACCCCTGTGAGGAAATAATAAAACATGATTTCACTAATGTCACCAAAATCATCTGCTCATAACTCTTGAGCCAGGTGAAGAAGACATTCCACTCTCAGTATACTTTGAGCCCAGTTTTTAAAATGCCAGGTGGTTATACAAGCAATATCAAGTAAACTTTGTGCGAGATTAGTCCTTGTAAGAAGCATGTACAAACTAAAATGTCAGGCAACAATAAAGACCCGCGACTTAGAATATCTTATTCAGTCTTTCCCTGCCCTAATTTGAGCTAAAGAAATTAAAATGCTGGCACAGAATGAGGTGCTCAGCAGTGATGAGGGTGAGCTTTTTGAATAGGGGTGAATTGACTCAGTAGGAGACATGCCATTGACAGAGCCTCAAGTTAACTGAAATGACACTTATTGTGGTTTGTTTGGCTTTGGCTTATAGTCTGAATCCACTCATCCAAATTGATAATGTGGGCCTCCTGAACAGACCCTCCTAAAAAAGGTTCCTCCCTCACAAAAAGTTCTTCCTAGCTCTGAGTGACTCCCAGTTCTGACCTCAGAGCTTTGCAATGACAGGATCCTAACGCATTTTTGTAAGCACTAATAAGATGCATAATTATATACTATGCTACATTGTAAGCTGCCCAGATTCACTGGGATAGTGAGATGGGCAGCATATACATTTAATAAGTAAATAAATAAATAAAAGTAAATTCAATATAGTAAAGCGGCTGTATCTGAAAGCAGGCTATTTTGGGCAAAAGCTACTGTCAGTGCCCCAGTCTGAGGAGACCAGATGTCCACCAACAGCTTAGTGGCTAGCCACTTCATTGCCAAAATGTACTGACACGAGCATGTCTTAGGGCCAGGCAAGTAAGTGTCTCTGCTTCCAATACTCTCTGGTAGGTTTGGAGGAACAAAACACATTTGTTTTGGGCAAGAGAACCCTGTTCAGCAATGGTAGCAGACATAAGTGAACAGATGTTTCTTTGTTTGTTTTTTAACCAGAGGCTATCCATAGTGGTGACCTTGGTACTCTGCTCTATTCCTGGCTCTGAAATCCTCTGGCATGAAGTATAATGATGCAAACAGATAAGATTAAAGATGTGACTGCTGAATTATATTTTATCTTAATCTTCATCTGCACTATATAAATGAACTGTTAGTGAATCATTTAAAGTAATAGGTCTCAAGATCTACACCCATACAAAAATGAGTTTATGATAATTTAGTAACTGCATATGGAGTTTGGAACTTTGTCTTAGCATAACTCTCTTATTTGAGAACTACATAAGGAGATTTGTTTGGAATTAGTGAAGATGAAATGTTAACTTTCGATCACAAATGCAGCTGATTTTATTAAGTCATGATTTTCAGATACCATCAGTGTCACAGGCATTACCATACATTTGCAAATGTGCTAAATTACACTTCTATCCAATAATTTCTTTTCTGAAATAAACCCCTTTGAACTCAGTGTGATTTTCTCTTAATATTATTAATTATTTCATGAGATTAGATCCAAACATGCCAATTTGACAATGAAAATTATTCCTTCCACTTAAAGAGCCAGTTGAATCCAAGGGAGGCTATCCATTTGAGGAAAATAGTGGGGAAGCATGTTTGCAAAAAATTTTTTATAGAATCATATACTGTAATGGAACGGTATATCAGAGGACATCTAGTCCAACCCCCTGCTTAGTGCAGGATCTGCTAAAGCTCTGTTCAGTTTCAGAAGTACTTTCCACAATGTTTTAGAGGGTGAGAAAGTCTCCAGAGCAGTATTTTAGTAGTCCAGTGAATTGCAAAGAATAAAAGGAACTGGTGAAAGCTACATACTTATCTTCTTCTTCTTCTTGTGGAGTGACATGCAGTTAAGCACATATCCAGATCCCACCTATGTACTTACTGCTTTCTATATATCTCATTTAAAGCTCATTGTGTTTTTTTTTAATTGCTACTAACGATAGGAAAGAAAATGAGGTTTCAACCGTCATGCTATAAATAATATAAAATGTGGAAAGAATTAAGCAAGTATTTTCCAGATGTGTGATTAATACAATTGCACAACTGGAATTCATGATACATACTCAGCAGGGCAAAGTTACTTAATTTGTCTAATTTAAACATAAACACATGATTCAAATGAAAATTTGTTTTGGTATTTTCATGAACACCATGAATTTCAATTATATACCATCAGTTTTCATTTGCCTTTTTGCATAATCTTATAATTGTTTTCAAAGCTTTTGTAGAGATAGCTTTTATCAATATAAGCACTTAGATTTATATGCTGCTTTATAGTGCTTTATAGCACTCTAAGTGGTTTACAAGTATATTGTCCCCAACTATTTGATCCTCATTTAACCGACCTCGGAAGGATGGAAGGCTGAGCTGTCCAGGATCAAACTCCTGGCTATGGACAGAGTTAGAGTGCTGCATTCTAACCACTCCACAACCACAGCTCCTCAATATGGAGATCATTTTTTTCTAGAATTCCCATATAATTTTTCTGTGTACGATTTTCAGGAGAGAGGATGGCTGCCTAGAACTCAGTATTTCTCAAATTCATATTTAAAGATCTGTCGATTTCATAGAACCATTTGCACATTCTTGAGATCCCAGCCAGGTTTTAGTCTGCAATACATATTACCTTGATTGATAGGATCACATATATATATATATCTGTTTCACATAGATTGCAATAAAACTGGCTTCTGTAGTCAGAACTATCAGGCAACTCCCAAGGCAAGCATTTCAATGGAGACCTCATAATCAGGAAATACTCTTGATCTTCCTACTTGCTGTTGCAATTTCAGTTCTGGCCCAAGCATAAAAGAGGAGCAGCTTAAAACTGTCCTCCTTTCTAAAAGTGATGCAAATTGGTCCCAGAGACCTAAGAGTGGCATTTGAAAGTCAAGCTTCTTTGGTACGGGGTGGGGGCAGTTACTTATCTATAAATTTCCCTAATCTGGAGTTTGTTTGAGGACAGCTATGCAAAAGAGCTATGCAACGATGGTTGCTAATAATGTGCCTTGGAGAGTGAAGCTAATATATGTAAAGTTTATTAAAGTTTATATGTAAGTTTATTAAAACTTTGTAGCATTGGCCAGTGTCACTCAGCTAGTGTGTTTACTACTTGTATGTATGCTCAGAGGTATTTCAATGGCACTATAAATTATGAGTGAGGAATTTGCCTAGTCAGCTAATTCCAAAATAATGCTGTCCAGTAAAGGTATTGGACAATAAGCAAGAATGTCATATGCATCATTGTATGAAAGACACAAATCACATTGCTGGCATCACGTTGCTGGCATCAATTGCACACTGATATCATGATACATCTGATGTCATTGCCCCCCCTTGTGAATGCCCATGTCTTCTAGAGGTGTCAAATGACAGTTCCTAGTATCTCTTGGTATTTTTAGGAATATTACATCAAGAAAGTCTGCACTAGGTTTTAAAAGCCAGTATATATAAGTACTATATATATTACGCTTGATGTAAAAATTTAACCGTTTAATAAAATGGTGTCTATGTCTATGTCTAAGAATGTAACCTTCCTTCTCCAATTTTCTTTTAAGATTTAATTGGAATTCTAAGTGCCTGAACTGGCATATATTAGAGTTAACGAGGACCTAACATAATTTCCTTCTTAGAAATACTATTTCATAGAAAATCGTGGATGAATGCAACATATTCAAAGAATTATACTAACCTGTGAAGTATCTGTAGATGGGTTAACTTCCTTACCACACACAGCAGAACTTGTATTTGCAGAAGCTGCTTCTGGAGCCTCTGTCTTCTTGACATTCACTTCTACAGGAATGGAAGGCCCTACCTGCCTACTCTCGGTCAATGGAGCTGGATTTGAATTGCTTGTTTGTCGTGGTGATGCTTTATACCAACTAGGGTAGAACAAGGGATCGGATGACTCTCCATTTGACTGTAGTCCAGTCTCTACTAGTCCTGCAGGCTGTGCTGTAGTAGTATGTACAATTTCATCCTTAGTGGGAAAGATTAAAAAAAGAAAAGAAAAAATAGAATGCAAATTATTTGAGGTGTTTTTTTTACCTCCATCTCTTCCCATCTTTCTCTCTGAAAGGGCAACATCATGAAAACTTATATTTTAGTTTTCTATACTTGATATTCTAAACTATGCTTACTGATTACTGAAAAGTACAGCAGATCTTAAGGCTTTTCCATACTTATCCCCAACCATAACAGAACACAACACATGACACAAACATGTCTTGGCAACATCTTTTTCTATTGTCTCTCCATGAAGTTTGCTTCATGTTGGCCCTATCCATGAGTGCTTTCTACCTTACTCCAACACTACACAAGGGCAGCCTCAAGAGTGCAAAATTTGTGACCAGAGAAATATTGTGGCTTTATAATTATATGGTTATTCTTATTGACACTATACAATATCTTAGATTAAAATTAAGTGAATAATATATTATGAATATTGGTTCTTTAGAATGTTAAGTGTTAGTATTTTAGGATATTTTAAGTACTGGTATTATTTAATTAAATTTAGAGATTGTTGTATTCAGTGGTGGGGTTCAAAATTTTTTACTGCCGGTTCTGTGAGTATGGCTCGGTGGGCGTGGCGTGGCTTTGTGAGCATCGCTTTGTGGGCATGGCAGGGGAAGGATACTGTAAAATCTCTATTCCCACCCCACTCCAGAGGAAGGTTACTGAAAAATCCCCATTTCCTCCCAATCAGCTGGGACTCGGGAGGCAGAGAATAGATGGGGGAGGGGCCAGTCAGAAGTGGTATTTACCGGTTCTCTGAACTACTCAAAATTTCTGCTACCGGTTCTCCAGAACTGGTCAGAACCTGCTGAAACCCACCTCTGATTGTATTGTATTATTATCTCTACTGAAAAAAGTTTGGGGTCACTATTGTTATATATTTGATAGGTTTTTTCCCCAACTTTTTAACATGTCCTGTTATTCTCTCTCCATTTTTCCTTTTATGTTAGTTTATATTTTAATGTTTGGTTTTGAAATTTAATAAAGACATTAAAAAAAAAAGTAAAATCTGCTAGCTATCACTTCCCATTACATGCAAGGAATGCAGGTGACTTCAGTGATTTGAAACAGAAGAAATAGAGACAGGACAGGAATCGGTAATGGGAACAGTCAAGGTCAAGCCAGTATAATTTTTTGCCAATTCAAGGACGAGGGATAACACTTTTAACTCAGCAGTGGGTAATTAAAGTTCATACTAAGGAAACGGTAAACTCAGCTTGGTAGTTGTTTGTTAAATACACCATCTGCAGCCAAAGTAAAAAAGAAACACTTAGGTTTTAAATCTTTTTGTTAAATTCTGAATTCTATTAGTTTTTTTATTAATTATTATGATGTTAGCTTTATTTTACATAATGTTACTTTTAAATTCTCTGTTGGTTTTTATTTGTTCTAGGCAATAGGTTACGGCTTTACTTTAAGATGACATTAACAGGAATTATAGTTTTAAAAGTACTGTATCAGAAGAGAAAAGGGCAAGGTAGGCTAGGTGAGGTTTATTTTCTATTGCTATTGGATTTTTTTAGTATGCCCTAAGTAAAATTTTAAGGGCTGCATTCAACGATGGCCTTCTATATGCAGAAAACCATTCCACTTGTTCTAGAAGAAGTTTACAGATGTTCACTGATCTCTTTACCTACTGCAACCTTCAGGGTAAGAATATGTTGATTGACAATTCCCAGATTTACCAGAGAGCAAGAAAATTCTAGGAGTTGTAGACCAACACACTCAAAGTATCAAAAATTGGGGAAGACTGACCTAATGAATTAGCATATTTAATTAATAAAGGGATTAACAAAGTGATAAAATATTTAACATAACTGATACAAGAATATTACTTACCTGTTTTGCTGTGGTAGGAGTATTAACTAATGGGTTAGAAGGTAATGATGGTGCCAGATTACTCTGAGATACTGCTTGTGTGTCTTTCAATGCAATATCCTGTTGAAGTTGCTGAGATGATGCTTGTTCAGATATTTCATCTTCTTCACCTGATGATTCAGTATGGATTTCATCTGGTGTTTTCCCTTCTGTAGCATCTTCCTCCTCCTCCTCCTCTTCTTCTATTTTAACATAAAAGGTAAAATATACTAATTGGTTTCCTCTAAAATAAAATTTGCTACAAGAGAATCTTTGGTTCTAAAGGTTCTGATTTATCCTTTTCTAAGCAGGAATATTTGTCTCTGGCCCTATTAAAGGAATTGAATTGCATCAAAAAAACAAAAAAAAAAAAAACCACAGCCAGCACTCTGAGCAGAATAGTATTTTTGCATCGGTTCCTGTTCGTAGTTGTTTCTCTCAACACATAATAAAATTAACAACTTGTTTTTCTGTGAAACCTTCCCAAAGGACTTTGAGATTTCCTAGAATGGTTAGCACATTGTTTTTTTTAGAAGCAGAAACTATTCATCTAATAATCAGAACAGAATAAGAGGAAGTAGCTTGTGTAGAGACTGGACAAACTATCATAGCAGGCTTTTGACTTTCACTCCTGATTTCTTTGATTTTTGTCACTGAGTCCTAGGAAAAGTGGGAAGTGCAATTATCGCCAGGATATGGCCATTGGTCAGAATGTCCATGGATAAATTATTAATCATTGCAATTGTATGTTACTTAAAATAAAAAAAGGTCTCCAGGGGAACAGTCTAAGAATACATTAGACAAGTGTTGCCAAGTGTATCAAGAACATATGCTTATACTATTTGTATATAAAAAAGGGAAGGGAAATGATTCCCCTTGCCATCAAACTTTCTGTGCTGTACATATGTATACAATCCCTCCTCCCAATCTGCCTCATGTTTGTGCTGAAATATAGATTGAGGAATATTACTTAACAGCAATATAATGTAGCAATTTAAAAAAAGCTAATGGATACATTTCCACCTCTTTCCTGAAACTGTCACTTTTTATTTAATGACTAGGCTGATCACATGATTTTGTACACTATTAGATCATTTGAAATGAAATAGTGTTCTACGATGAATATGACATGATATGATGCATGCGATTATCTCAGGACTATGTGGAAAATGTTTGTTAGCATTAAGTACCTTTGTTTTTCTGAAAGGGTATTCTAAACTGACTTCGTTATAAGATAAATACTGGGTCCAGCTTCACTTTTCTGGTGATAAATATTTCAGTAAGAGCACAAAATACCAAGTTCTGATAAATGATGGTTTATAAAGAAGTATTTGTGAACTTGAGCTGCTTTTGGTCTAACTAATATAAATGTGGTTAAATACTGTTACCTTCCCACTGAAGTGGTACCTATTTATCTATTCGCATTTGCATGCTTTCAAACTGCTAGGTTGGCAGGAGCTGAGGCAAGAACGGGAGCTCAACTTGTCACATAGTGTTGGGTCTTGAATTAAGTAAGGGGATCACACAAACACATTATTTTAGGGCGGCATGGCACCACTGAATCCTAATTTAGCTTATCTTTATGGAAAAGTTATCTTTCTATCTTGATGATATTTGTTCCAATCTTTTATTTAAAATAGTTGTTTATGCTTTTGTTTCTCAATCTTCATTACCACTACATTTATGCATATAACAAGGCAAGAGTAGAGAATGAAGAGCTTTCAATTATCACTTTCTCAATAAGATTCCAGGAACCTTGACTATCAATAAAATTGACATTCTTTCTTTACAATGGCTGTAAACACTGAATAAATACTATTGGCTACTGTATATAAATTCATACACATGCTCACAGATACACATGTGTACACACATAAATAACCCATCAATATTTCTCAGTATAACATTGGTAGTAATTAACATCTTTTGGGTACATAAATACACATAATCAAGCTTGATAACTACTTTGATTCAAGGAAATGTTCTATCATGAATCACTATTGGTAATCATTGCTAAGGTTCTGCTAGTCATATAAACAGATCAGACAGAGGTTAATAGCTTTGATGTATACTGAATGTTGGAATCTTGAAAGATTTACAACACTAATGCCAAAGCTCAGATTCTATGAAAAAAACATATATTTCAGCATACCATCTTAGTCTTCATGAGTTTACTTTTGATTATTAGACATGTAAAATATATCTTTCACTTTTGTAGAATGTCAAAAAGGTCTTTCGATTATTTTTGTGACAGGATGTCTTCATAAAACTGAACGCTTCACAAGTAAGAGGAAAATAAGCTTTTTAAAAAACCTACCTCTGTAAAAGTAAATTTCTCTAATTATCTTTTCTTCTCTATTAAGATTGACTGTGAAGTGGGTCATATTTTCATAGCCTTTCTCTATTTTTTCCATCTGAAATGCTTTAGAAGCTTCAGTAATTCTAAAATAGAAACACCATTGTGTCATCTGCATTATTTTGCAACTGAACAGTTTAGAAATTGTTGGCTTACAATGAAAATGGTAACACATCTTTACTTACTTTTGTAGCAATGCTTTGGCATTCTGTGAAAAACAAAATATAGCCAATAAAGTACGTTATTTAATAACTTCTTCCTTTTCTTTTCAACATACAGATTTAAAGTTAATTAATGTATAAACATGTTAGAATATATTTTTAATAAATAATATCTGGAATCAGGGATGAGATCCTACCGGTTTAACAACTGATTCGCTGAGGGTGCACGCGCCAGACACGCACTCTGTGTGCATGCACAATTTGCAGAAAATTGAATTTCCGCGTTGCTGAGAGCAAGGAAAACAGCTGAGGAGTGGCAATCCCCTCTGCTGCCCCAATCAGCTGGGCTTTGGAAGCAGAAATATAGGTGAGTATAATGCAGGGGCTGGCAGGTGGGCGGGCCCACTTCAAAGGAAGAGAGAACTGGTTCACTCATGGCTGAAAGTTGGAGCTAATGGTTCGCCCAAACCAGTCTGAACCGGTAGAATCCCACCACTGGCTGGAATTCTAACCACAACAAGATATTCCATCAAGATAATGCAAAAATGGACCCTTTGAGGTAAACCAAACCAGAATGTATATTTTGATCTAGAAAGATACTTTAACTAATTTAAACTAATTTCTCTAGGCCACATTGGGAAACAAGAGACCCTCTTGATGTTGTTAAATTAAAACTTCCAGCACTACAGTTAGCATAGCTGCAATGGATGTTAAGAGTTATAAGACATATAGCTTGACAACATAGAAACAATTACATGTTCCCCATCCCTGTTATACACTGATGCACCATGCCCATAAAGATTACAAGTGCTACGGTTTGTCCTGTCTGCTGTTCACAGCCTGAACATTTAGTTCAACACAGAACAGCAAATCATTTTGTTCCTTGGGTTAAGCAATAATGTAGACCAACTAATATCACAAATTGCTCTGTAGCTATGATTCTTGTTTCATTTGCACTATACAGTAATGATTGAGTTACAGGCTTAGTGCATTTTTCATATTGGGAAATACCAGGATATTTATATTCAATTTACCTGATGTACTTAACAGAATGAATTATCAAATTCTAACTTTCTGGTTTGGGAGAGCTCCCAGCTAAAAATAAAGATACATGCTTTAATATGTACACTCCTTGCAAAATCTGAAGGAACTTGAAGATGATATTCACAAAGTAGGAAATTCTAATTAAATAAGAAACATCTGATTCTGCAGATTGGATTATAAACTGTTCAGGAGAAAATTCTATTATCAATTAAAATTCAAATTTAACCTTAATGTTGGGGGAAAATTGGGTTACTTTGACATAAAACATTATATAATCTAATTATTTCCCTATACAGTGTGCTGTATTACGTTAGAAAAGGGTTTTTATTATCTTCATTTAATAACCCTAGGATAAATGTCATCTCAAATACATATCTTTTGTTTTTCATTTTGAAAAATATATTTCCCTGTAAGTATTGTCTGTTTAGCTATTTTCTCCCAGTTTAAGAAAGTACCATAAATCCTATATGGGATGAGCAAAAATACAATTTTTAGATTGAATATGGAAAAGTACTACACAGGTAGATATTCTATAAAACATTTGAGAAGTACATGATGGACACTCAAATGGTACTTTACATAGTGCTAAGGAATGCTAAGGAAAATGCTAAGGAAAATACATTTTCCTGTGAGAGATTTAGCACAAGGGAAGGTTTAATTAGAAGATGAATAATGATATATTCCTATTTTTAAAAACTTTTCTGCAACATACCTGTAAAAATAGAGCCATTTCTGGCTCTTCCATAAATTGGATGCCTGATTCCACCAGTTTTGATACTATCTCTAAATGATCTGCATGCTTTTTTATCAGAGACCGGACATGTTCCAATTTCTCCTCTTGGCTCCGAGTGATTATTTGTGTCATCTCACTTTTTCGTTCTTCCAATATTGCATACAAATAATCAAATTTTTCACATAGTTGCTCCTTCTGCCTTTTGCAGCATTCCTGTGAATGAATCATTAGCTTTGTGTTAAAAGAATTATGTCGACTGCATCTGTTTTTATTTCTATAAATTGAGGGAAATGCCTCTGCACTGAAAAAGCTTTTTCTTTTCTTAAAACCGTTCACAGTATCTTGTAGAAGCCAACAAACTTCATGGATTGAGACAAATTACGAAGGTGATATGAACAAAGAGGGAATTTTGAGTTTGAACATTCCAAACTAACACCCAATTAAATTTGCCTCATAATAAGCAATAATAATGAAACTTTTTTCAAACGCTGATGGTAGAGCTCTAAACATTTCTATTTAAGCATCAAGATCATTTTAATTTTAGAATAAATATTCTAAAAATATGAACTGTAATAGCCTTTAAAGTAAATGTTTATACTAAAAATTTTCAGGGTGACTTGCAAATTTTCCCAACTCCCTCAAAACATTGCCATTTACAATGTTTACAATTAAATAATAATGTAATGTAATTTGTAAATTATTAAAATTACTTTAGAATTACTTCCCTAGATTCCAATATCTTCTATTACATTATAATGTAATAGAAGATATTGGAATCTTGAGAAGTAATTCTGATAATTGTATTTAACTAATTTAATACAATGTAATTACATACTGTTAAACTAAATCAAAATATTTTTCCTTAGGCTCCAATGATGGCTTTGTCCTGGCTATGTCTTTTGAAATATGATTACTTTCCAGGTACGTCATACAGTTTTGCCACTTTAAAAACCCTGAAATAAGTTTTCCCTTTCCATAAATTGAACACTCAAAAACCCTGTGAAAATTTCCAGAACTAAATATAGTTTAGTAAGATATACTTTGCTTTTGCAAGGGAATAATCAGACTATTTTAATAGCTATGCCTTATTTAAGGTTTTCAGCAAGCCAATTTAAGAAAGGTCATAAAATATGCTATCTGTTCCAGATGGAGATAGAAAGGTTGCATTTTTACTCAATAGGAAAAGGATTGTATTTAAGTTCCAAGTGACTGTTTGATTTAAAGATCACATTGGTGTCTAATGGGCACAAACATTATATGAAGTTAAGAAAAATATTTAAGCTGTTACTATAGAGCTGTGATGGCAAACCTATGGCATGCGTGCCAAAGGTGGCACACACAGCCATATCAGTGGGCATGTGAGCTCAACTCCGGCGCACATGCACGCACCGGCCAGCTGATTTTCGAGCCTTCTGGGCCCACCAGAAGTAGAGAAACAGGCTGTGGGGAAGGCCCATTTTTCTCTCTCACCTAGCTCCAGAATCTTTCTAGGAGTCTGGGGAGGGCAAAAATGGCCTTTCCCATTCCCCAGAGGCCCTCTGGAGGCCAGAAACAGCCCGTTTGCCAACTTCCAGTGGGACCGGAAGGCCAGTTTTTTGCTGTCCCCAGCCTCCAGAGCCTCTCTAGGAGTCTGGGAGGGAGGCAAAAATGGCCTCCCCCACACACACTCCGGAGGCCCTCCAGAGGCCAAAAACGGCCCATTTGTCAACTTCCAGTCTCACCGGGGTGGGGTGGGGAAGGCCGTTTTCGCCCTCCCCAGACTCCTAGAGAGGCTCTGGAGCCAGGTGAGAGAGAAAAAAGGGCCTACTGAGCCATTGCATGCCAGGAGCGGGGTAGTGTGTGGAGGGTCATGTGCACATGCACGGGGCAGGGCGCATAGAATTATGGGTGTGGGCACATGCACATGCAACTCCCCAACCCCCCCCCGCCATGCGATGGCAAAAAGGTTAGCCATCACTGCTATAGAGAGAAGAAAGGCTGTGATCTTTATGTTGTATTATTGAGGGACACAAAGTTAGTTGGAATTAAGAAAAAGAGTTTCTTTGGCTCACACAGACTATGATAGATGTGTCCTTGTGAGATTGTTTTGCTTTAATGTATTGCTTTTTGTTGAACAGAAAAATGTGTTTCCTGTTGATTTGATGTTTTTAAATATAACCTTCTTATATTCATGTTTTCAGTTTTTCATTAATTATATTTAAACAATCTTGCACTTTGAATTCTTAATTGGTAAAATCATTCTGTTGTACAAACACGTTAGACGTTTGGGGTATTGCCTTTCTAAATAAAGAAAGATAACAAAAATAAAGAAAACAAAACATGGAAAACATAATGAAGGCTGTTTTCCAAAATACCATATATGGATGCTAAATTTATTGAATGCTATGAAAATGAAAGGATTTATGAAAATCTGCACTTCTCAGATTAGATTTGGAGAGCATTTGGTGAAAGTGGGAATTATATATAAGTAAGTCATTATTGAAAAGATATAATATCAGTCTTGGTGATTGCTTCTACTTCCTATTGGATTGTTTTGTAAAACGTTTAGCAAAGGCTTTGAATTTATTTAAGAACCTTTCTTTGTTTGCATCTAATTATGGCACAGAGATGTATCAGTATTCTGCTTTTTACTGTTGTGTTCATTTGATTCTTAGACCACATCTGAAGTGGCATTAAATCTCCTTAGTGCTATCAGTGCCTTTTTTCCCCTTATTCTGAGATAAGTTGGTAAAACTTTATACATTTCTATTACCATGCTATCAATAGTGCAATCTGGTGATCCCAAAAAGGTGGATCAGCCCAACAGCTATTGGTTATTTAGATTCTCCTGTTAGGCCTCCCATCCCATTCGTGGCATTGTCTTCCAGAACTATTCTGCTTTAAGCAGAGGAACAATTCACTTGTTTCAAACTGAGTTTTCACTAACTGTACATGGTCCAGGGGTGGGTTTCAAAACCCATCGCTACCGGTTCGTTCGTGGGTGCACGCACGCGACACTTCTGTGCAGAAACATCCAGGCAGGTGGGCAGAGTCTCCAGCCACCACTGCTACCGGTTCATCTGATCCGGGGCGAACTGGTAGCAACCCACCACTGACTTGGTCTCTGAAACATAAGCCACCTTGAAAAACAGCTAATAGTGGTAGTGCCATAGCAGGGACTACACGGTGAATGGTGAGGCAGATCTGGTTCTCTTTCTGCTATTTTCCAACACAACTCCCATCACAATGTCATCTTTGCCTGGGTTATTTTTCAGCATGCACTTAGTGCTCTTCTGAATATCAGCTGGGAATTGGGCTGCTTTGAACACAGCCACAGAAAGCACTTGTAGAAAGCCAGACCATGTTTTGGCAGAGGGCTAAACCTAACAGTCTAGACATCTGTTAAAACTTGTATTTCTTTTCTTCCCTCCACATTCTATTCCATGTTAAGGAAAATGAATGATGAATGTTTTCTTGCCAGCTCCTGACATTTGGTAGGAAGAGAGAAAAACAAAGCCAGTGAAATATGGCAATGCTTGGTACACTGTAAATAGACAACACAGTTTGTTGGGATTGTTTCTAAGATAGTACAGATCATCACTGGGAGTAGCAATTTTTATGTCAATATAGTTTTATGTCCAAATAGGTTTCTGCCATCTCAAGGATTAAGCTTGACTGTAAGGAAGAGTCTTAAGTTGCTAAAACTTCAATATTACAGTATCTCTCCTTTGGAGAGAGTTTAATTCTTACCGTGAAGGTACTTGAAAGGCTTGCTATGGTCTGCAAACTCCTGATACCAACACATTTCATCTTTGCAATATGTAGACTTCCTTTATGCATACTTGCAATGTGTGACGTCTTAACTTTTAAGTGCTAATATTTTCATACATTCCTTGGCTCAGAAATTTCAGCAATTTTGAACCATGTTTGTTATATTATTTCCTCTCGTACGTGTTGATTACGGAAAGGACTCTGATGGATTTTTTGCAAATTAGAATGACATATTAAGGTATAAGCATTCTTTACCTCATTTTTTTTTCATTTAAATCTATCATTTGGGGATAACATTTCCATAAATGTGTTTTTTTGCTTTTTTTCCCCTTCAAACCCAAGGCATTTTAGCAAAAAAAATAATTATGGGCGGTTGTGGTCTGGTATTTGGTCTGTTTGCCCAAAAAACTAAAAATAGGAAGTGAAAAAAAAGAGAATGGGGAAGTACTAAATGGGTGTCAAATAGCATTCTCTTTAACAATACCCTGTAACTGGTTATCTCCTCCACGTCAGCTATTTTGTGACTGGGAAGTGGGACAATCCCTTTGGAAGCAGTGGTGTCTGTGGGCTTACAGAGCAAGTGGTCAGTCTGAGAAAAACAGGTTCTGATGTCGCTTTCACATCCAGAAGAGCAGAGCTTTGCAAAGCAGTTCTGCCTTTGTCATTATGATGAAAGCAGCAGAATCTTGCAAATCCCTATGCTTGCTAGCTTTTCATGGATGCACATACCGTTATTATAGACAGCAAGGAAAATAGGTTCATGGATCTTAGTGCTTCAGGTCAGCAAAAGGGGTTGAAACAGGGGTGAAATCCAGCAGGTTCTGGAGAACCAGTAGTGGAAATTTTAAGCAGTTCGGAGAACCAGCAAATACCACCTCTGGCTGGCCCCAGAGTGGGATGGGAATGGAGATTTTGCAGTATCCTTCCCCTGGAGTGGGGTGGGAATGGAGATTTTGCAGTATCCTTCTCTTGCCCGCTCACTAAACCACACCCACCAAACCACGCCCACAGAACCGGTAGTAAAAAAATTTGGATTTCACCAATGGGTTGAAACATTTTTCAAGTCTCAAGAAACAAGAGAATGTTTCCAGTGAATCAGAGGTTGTCTTGATTCATTGAAATTTAAGGAGGGGGAGGAGGTACAGCACAATCCAATTTGCAAGGTTCTCTGTGGAGTTGATTTCTTGGCCTGGTTTATTAGTGCAGCAGACACCTATCCCAGAGACTAAAAATTTCAAAAATGCCTACTGGTTCCAGAAGGCTGGTGGCTCTAGACAACATTTGTGGAAGTTGTGTAGAGTGGCTTTTGAGCAGTAAGAACTCTTTCTCAGAAAGAAAGACCTATGCAACCTAAAACTGTGGAATTCCTCATTTACACACCATATGGATGACTACATTGGAACAAAAACAAAATATTACTTTTAAGCTGCCCAGTCACAAACCTGTAGCTCTTATTACCTGTAAATACTGTAAATATATTATTATATAGTACATTACAATGTTCTTGGGGAGATCTTGATGCATATGAAGGCCAGCGCCAGTTAAAAGAACTGGCAGCTATGATTTCAAATTGTTGTGGAGATAATAATAATAGTAATTTGGTTTAATGGTATCAAAATAGTGTTTGCTTACTTCAACTGTTCTGCAGGTTTCCTCCAGCTGAGTTACAATTCCTTGTACTCTGTCATTACTTCCCACGAGCACAGCGATCCCATCACTAAGTTCAGACTGCGATATAAAATAAACTTTGAGAAGATATAAAGCATTGTAGTAATCTAATTCTTTAACTTTATAATCATTAAAACTTTCCTAAAAGGGTACTAAAAAGCATATATTTTATTTAAGGAGATACAACCTAATTTTCAAAATTCTTCATAAATAAGATTGCTGAATATAATACTTTCGCAAAAGATGAAGTTATTATAACAAATTTATTTAACTGAGGTTTTTTTCTTTTCATATCAAAAACTGATTTGCATGATTTAATTCTCCCACTAAAAATATTTTAGACAGTTTCATGTTAATTATTCTGTCCTCTGATCTTTTCATATTGTTTCCTGTGATTATTGGAACAAACATGCAACAGTAAATTTTACTATAAACATACAATAACAATAGCTTCTATATATTCACAATGTAGAGGTATTTCTTGTCATCTGTGGAAGGAAATCTAGTGATTGATATGCATAAGTATAATACTTTCTATTTAGATACTTTTTCTAAGTACTATTTTTCATGTGTTGTTTCAGAATAGGAGTTTAATGTTTATCAGGTTGAAAAAAACACAGGTTTTTTTTGCAACCTAATAAACAAGTACTCAGCTTTAATATTGACAAATAAAATAATGGGCTTCTTCCAAAAGCTCTGCTTATAAACTGGCTCTGTATCATGGCAGCCTCACCAAGGCTTTCAAGAAATTGTGTTGCATTTCTCATGAGGATATTCCATATAAACAGCTGTTTCATGAATGCTGTGTTAAAAATAAATAGACCTTTAACAGATGGCAGCAAAGGATTCTGGGAGCATCACTGAACTTTTCTATTCCATGTCCAAGAAATTATTGGCAAAATAAAAAAAAATCTTAATAACTAAAAAACAATAACGGACAGACAGACAGAAATATATTGGTTTGCAGATAGAGGCATCTTCAGAATAAAAGCCAGAATCTGAAATTAAAGATTGAATATAATTGGATATAACTTTTTAAAAAATGCTAGATTAAAACTAATAATATTTCAGAGTAGAAGAAAAACAAAAGTAATCAAATATAATTAAAAAGACTGTGGTCAACAACAACTGGCCAGGAGTGGGTGGGACAAATGTAGTGGTACCCAGACTTCAATCTGATAAAGACTGAGAGACTACATGTATGTTGCTAGCGCTTAAGACTATCAGTGAAAATTTTAAAACATCTGCAATCTACTGTTCATACTGCTTTCATGTCACATTTAGGAACATTGTGAAAAGATAAATAGCAGTTCCACTGATGCAGACTATGTTAGTCTGAAATGTCAGGGAAACTTACTGATGGAGGAGTTGTGTGCATCTTTGGGGTATGATTAAAGGTAAAGGTAAAGGTTCCCCTCACACATATGTGCTAGTTGTTCCCGACTCTAGGGAGCAGTGCTCATCTCCGTTTCAAAGCCGAAGAGCCAGCACTGTCCGAAGACGTCTCTGTGGTCATGTGGCTGGCATGACTAAACGCCAAAGGCGCATGGAATGCTGTTACCTTCCCACCAAAGGTGGTCCCTATTTTTCTACTTGCATATTTTACGTGCTTTTGAACTGCTAGGTTGGCAGAAGCTGGGACAAGTAACGGGAGCTTACCCCGTTACATGGCACTAGGGATTCGAACCGCTGAACTGCCGACCTTTTGATCGACAAGCTCAGGGTCTTAGCCACTGAGCCACTGCATCCCTTAGTGGTATGATTAAAATCTGCAAATTGGTGGGTGTTGTAGAAGCCCCACCCTTTTTGTATACAAATTCATTGCTGCTGCAAATGGGGTAGGCTTTGATTGCAATGCTGTGCCCACCATATTGCAGATTTTGGCCATCTGAAGAAACCCTCCAGAAGATATTTGGTTGTGGGCTATATAGGCATCCATTGGAAGGGATGTGTAGTGGGGGAAAGTGGTAAAATGTATGGCATAACATTGTGACACTGTTCATTATGTACAGTATTTGTATTGTATGTGATGTTGCAATACAAACACAAAAAAGGGTGTGTAAAGGTCTCCTTTTTGATGTTATGATACATATTTCATTATTTTGGTGCTGTTAGGATTAAGAATTGATGCTTATGGTGAGTTGCATTTAATATGGAAATGAAATTGATGTAAAGAGTTTAGTTTCATAGGGAACAAAGATGGAAGAAATTAGGTATTTATTATAAGGATACTAAATACATGGCGGCAACTATGTGAAAAACATAAAGAAATACTTCTATGATACCAGACCAATTTGGAAGCCATGAAGTTAGAACATTTCTCCAATAACCATTTGGATTGATTATATGGCATGGGGCATCTGTACAGCAATAACATACAGTGGTTCGTCTGGCAAAAATTTGAATTACTTTGGAAATTCCTCAAACAAAACTTCACTTTTTCCCCATCGTGATTATTTGTGATATTGAGAGTTTCAGTCTATTACCTCTTCAAGGCACCATATTTGGAATGGCAGCATAGGCTCAAATATTTCACATTAATGGTAGTTGTGTGCCTGCCAGCTGGAGCAACAGATTGAGTAGATTAAAAAAAAAATCCTTCAAGGACCTAAGATCTAAACAAGATAACTTCAGTGGAAAATAATGATGTACTTTCAGTAAAGCATTCTGATAACTTAATTTTATAAACAGGAGAGCTATTAATTCTCTAAATGAGAAGCCATTAAAAAAAGAAAGATTTTTGCTTGTTTTTTTACCTTCTGCCTTTGGTACACATTCGAGAGGGGAGCAACCTGACAGTCTTTATGAGCACCAAAAACTTTGCACATGGAACAGGTGGGCACTTCACAATTCAGGCAATAAATATTAATTTTCTCATCTTCATGTTCTTCACACATTGGCTGCTCAGTTTTTCTTTCAGGCCTGTGAATGGAATTAATTTAGGAGAAAAAAGCAAATCCAAAACAAAACGATTTAAAAACTAAAGATCAAATCAAAGAGGCAGATAAGAATATTTCTCTGTTTGGAAGGTAAGTATGAGACTGATAGCAGCTCTCTGGGTTCATAGGGGAGCAAACAAATTCCTATTATTTTCTTTATTTACTAGGTATTTATTCTGCTTTTGTTACATTAATAATAAGGCGGCATATATAATATTCCTTCTTCCTCCTATTTCCCCCACAACAACTCTAGAACTCACAGTCTCCTGGTTTCTAGGCCAGCTCCTTAACTACCACTAAACAGTTTTATCCAACTGATTCTTTTCAATGAAGATGAAGATGTTAGGAACTGAATCTGTGACAACCTGCATGCAAGTGTGGGTAGAGACCAGCAATTGGTCTCTACCCAACAGAACAGGATGCAATATAACGAAATAAGGGCCCTGAGAATGGAAAGATTTCTGGGGATATGAAATTATCAGGGTGTCTGCAGGGTATTGTCAAAAAGGTGAAGATGGCGGCCATGATAATGCAACTAAAGCTCTATCTGTTTATTACTGTATGTGTATGATACATAAAAATGTTTCCATCATGAGAGGGAGATTGTCACACACACACAGGAAAAAATCCCACTGATCTAAATGAATTTTTCTCATTAAAAATGTAAAAGACTGGCAGGTTGAAAAATGCCACAAATAATGTATTTAAAACAAGTGATCTTCTAATGGAGCGAAAAATGGAAAGGACATGAATATTTGGAAATACCTCTATGAAAAGTTAAAAGCTGGTTTTCTGTAAAAGTTACTTGGCAAATATCCCCAATAATATGCCTCCTTATGCTAAAGCACCAATATAAAACATTTTTAATACAGTTGTGGGTAGTAGCTTAAAGCATCTTCCACCTAAGGGAAGTCTAAGGCCACTTCCATACCAGCAGCAGTTCCACCTCATTCCCCATCAATCACAAAGCAGTTATCTCAGTTTGAACAGGGGAAGAAGTTCAAATTCAGACAATGATATGGGATGGCATAAACCAATCAGACATCACAATCTTCCTTTCTGTCAGATTAATAGTAGAATGCAAAGAATACATTAATATCTGGTCAGTGCCCAACTCCCTGAGCCATTACCAACCACCGGATGTGGTCCATGGGCCATAAAATGCCCAGGTCTCTTCTAAGCAGTTTCCTTTATTGTTTTCACCTACAGACAGAAACCTTGCCAAACCAAAGCAACTACTCACATCATTAAAGATATACTCTGAGAATTGCTAGGGCGGAGCTGCCTTAACTTTCTTTCTCACAACTCCTCTCTCCCAGGAAGCCAGAGTACATTCCACCACATCTCCTTACTATACAGAGTCTATTAGACATGCATATTAAACAAACTGTTCTAAAAGCAAGACCCACAATACACATTCTGAAATTAAGTAAACTGTTTAGTTTTATGGACTTTCATCATTTGCAACAGTGTGACTCATTTGAATAAGTCATTTTATAATGTAGTTAATAAAAGCACAAAGATAATTTTTGCTGAAGAATCAATAGACCTTGTTTTCATGATAGAATTCATTCAGAATAAGTCTTTCATGTAATGTCTATTATATTGCTTTGAACTAATTATAACAGTAATAGACAACCATCACATCACTATGTTTATAAATTATTACATATCAAATTACATATTTGATTTAAACTTCAAAGAAAGAAATCATTTAGCATGACCAATTTACTATTCCATCCTATATAATTGTCTTAGGTAGCACGATCTTATTTGATACATACCATTCATATAATGACCGTTTTTTAAATCATATCTGAGCACAAGATATTTTACTTGATCTTAAACTCAAGGAATAGATATCAAACTACCCTGGTTAAAATGTCTGAACTAAAGTGACCTTAAGTTCTTTACAGACTGAGACCCAGGCCAGTAATACAGCAGAATAAAGTGAAGACTCATATACAAAACTAATATCAAAAGTAATTATCTTTATGTAGCTGTTGAACAAGGAGACAACATCCTTAAATCCTATTTTCTACTGACTCTTCCTCTAGGAATCCTCCTTTCCCCTCCCTTCTCTCAATGCTTAATGTCTGCACACTGTCTTTTAAAATTACCATATTAGGTCTCTTTTTGCTGTTATTAAGCTTTAGCTTTTTAAAAGGACCCTCTAAAAAGAAGTGCTGGGCAAGATAGGACTATAGGACACATAATGATAGCAAACAAAACTTAGTGTCTAGAATTATTCTTGGGCAGTTAGAAAGACCTGATGAAGACTGCTGTTGTTACTTATTACAATTTTCTTTCATAACTGCTTAGCATTAAAACTCCCAGGCCTGAATTTTCCAGAATTCTCTGAACTTTTGACTCTTGAGAAGTCTAATTCCATGCATTTCAAAGGCAAACATCACTAAATTAAATGGGATTGTTAAATGATCGTTCAAAGATAAAAATTGTTAATTACCTGGAAGATTCCTGTTTGTATATATCAATTATATTTTCCACCAGCAGATTTCTTTGAAGGCCATACACTCCATGCCTATCAAGAACTACTTCATGTCTACAGGAGGGGCAGCGAAATCGACCTCCTGAAGCCACAGTGGTACCTCCTCTGATTGGAAGATATGGATTGGAGGCCTGTTCTTGCCAAGCAGTAAAACAAAGTTGTAAAGCTAATTGTATATTATTTCTCAATCATTCTGCACATCACAAGATATCTATCACACCATCTACTTAAGGTATGGTCTAATGTATTAATGTAGTCACTGTTATGGTATTGCTGGACTTCACATGAGGTCAAATCTCGAAAAAGTAGGGAAAAAAAGATAAATAAGTTTCAGTATCATTTTGTTCAATGCTTGGAAGCTAATAATATGACAAAGTAAGCTAGAGAGAAATTTGCCATTTTTAGAGGTGTTGAGGAACAACAGGAATGAGTTTATGTGTTAATAGCTCTAAATACTTGAAATAACAGTTCAGTTCATATAAATAAAAGGGACATTTCCAAATGCAAGGGATCCAAAATCACACATAAGATAAATAACAAACAACTTTTCCTCTAATTAATTTTTTCCTTATTTAAATAAAATCCTGGTAATTAAACCAACACTGTAATATTCTCCTGATTTTAGTATGAGATCTTAGTATGAGATCACTAAGCTAGATATAATGTTAATTGGAGGCTTAAATGTTTAAATCAACATACCTGGAAGATATCGCTGGCACATTTTCTACAGAGGTTGTGCTGACATGGAAGGATAACCACTGGCTTAGTAAACATTTCCAAACAGATGGGACAAATAAGCTGTTTCTCCAAGTTATCCATAGTTTGCTGCTCTTTAGAAAAAGACTTATAATTCAGAGTGGCGCTCATCTCCTGGCGATTTCAAGGCTCATAGGCTCAGAATCAGGCTGCTTCCGGGTTAGGTCGCTCAAAAGAATTCCAAAGCTGGCAAGATCAAATGTCCTTTGAAAAATCTTTCCCTGGAGGACATTGTTTTAATGGAGAGCAAAAGGAGCAGAGTTTATTTTAGAAGCAGAACGCAATTGGCTGCCAGACTCACTTTCTCCATATATGCCTCTGTCACAAGGACAGATTTAGACAGGTGACGGCCTACAAGAGTGAGAGAACCACATTCTTGTGTTCGGTATGGAAGGGGGTGGGAAAAGGAGGAAGATTTTGACAGTTGCCAGCAACGTCTCCACAGATGTACAACTCTGTCTTTGGAAAAACTGGTGTGTTAAAGTCACTAGTGAATGGAAGCTGTTCTTATCATTGCTTAAAATGTTCATTCCAATATGGAAAGCATAAGATGCTGAAAAATAAATGGCATTCAGTATTAAGTTTTGTGTATAACAAAACTACGGTTATTCCTTTTTCCTCCTAAATATCCTCCTCCGCCTAGTGATAATTGTTGCATGATCCCCAAAATATATGCACTCTGAAGATTGATTTTTTTTCTTTCAAGCTTTTCCCCGAGTTGATTTTATTGAATTCTTCAGAATTGCATTTATGTATTTTCTTTCATGCATGGTTGTATCCATATAGTCAACATAAGCTGAATTCAACTTGGGGCACCTTAACCTTAATAAACTTTTTATTTTATAAATAACTGGCTTGTGATTTTAGATCCTAAGGTTTATAAATGTTTGGATTATATATATATATATATATATATATAATTGCACAGGATTTTACCATTGTAAGCCAACTTGTGACACAAGAAAATACTGAACTAAATTATTTCAGGTAATCCTCATTTAACAACAGTAATTGGCACTGGAATTTCCTTTGGAAAGCAATGTGGTCATAAAGCACAATTTCATACCTGCACAACAGTTGCTATTGTTAAGGGAATCACCACAGCTGGCTAAATGAGAATGTCACCTGATCACTGTTTACAGTCTCCTGCTGGCTTCCTCATTGGCTCTGCTTGCAGGAAGCTGGCAAAGAAGTTGCAAATAGTGATCATGTGACACTCCAATGTTGTAAAGACAAGTCGGGTGTGAGTGCCCGGACTGCAAAATGCCACTGCGATGTTTGGAACTTTGAGAAGTGGTCATGAGTACTATTCATTCAGTACCATCATAAATTTAAATGGTCACTAAATGAGTGGTTGTTGAACAAGGATTACCTGTCTTAGGATAGCCTTTTCCAAATAAAAGTGCAGTGTCAAAGAAACTATTCAAATAGGTGAGAGTTTACAAGCATTGTATGATCATCATAATATAGTAGGATCACTTGCATTTTAAGAGAAAATGAAGGCATTATTAGTAGTGCTGACTCTTAATTAAAGTAACCTCATGCATATTTTCTAGTTGTTTGACGTTCAATTGAAGTAGTTAGAAAAAATGGTGCTATTAAGAATTGTCCCAAAAGTGCTTTATTAAGAGGCAACTTGATAACTAAGTCAACTGTTTTTGTTTTTCCTTGAAGACGTTTCGCTTCTCATCCAAAAAGCTTCTTCAGTTCTGACTGGAGTTGACATTCATTTTTAAGAATTGACATTTACTTTAAGATGGTTAAATAGGATGTATGACAGGCAAGACAATGGATGTATCAACAATCCGTAGTTCACTGATGTGTTTGTTGCAACTCCCTGCCTAACTTATAGCAATAGCAATAGTACTTAGACTTATAAACCATTTCACAGTGCTTTACAGCTCTCTCTAAGTGGTTTACAGAGTCAGCATATTGCCCCCAACAATCTGGGTCCTATTATGAGAATGAAAACTTTTATAGATGAAATCATTAGGTTTTTTTTCTTTTTTCTTTGCTCATACTTACCATTTTACTCAATGGGAAAATATTTATTAGCCAAGACACTGTCCAATGAATTGGGTGATTTTGTTATGCAATTCCATAATTTTGGAACTCTGCTTGGACTTCTCTAGGCTGGTGCATCTCACAAGTTCAAAATAATGCGCAGTATAAATAAACTTATAGGAAAATGCATCACAGTCATAAAAATATCTCTACAAAAATACAACACTTAAGATATAACAAGAAGAAAAATGGAAATAATTAATTGATGTGGAAATAAGAAATTAGGAATTAAAGAAAATAAGAGGTGGAAGGTTAATTGAGTTGAAAGCTTTCATGGTAAAAATGGAATAAGTTGAAATACATTGTTAATAATTTAAAAATGGGATGGGGATTTTGAGAAATATATATAATAATTGAAGAAAAAATCAGGGTCGCCTGGACACCAAAGAGGATAATATTGAATTGAAAATGAATACAGCAATGGAGAGAGAATAATAAGAAGGAGTAGAGAGGTAGAAGGAGCGGAGAAGTGAGGAAGGAGAGAGAGGAATAGAAGAAAGGGAAAAGGAGAGGAAGAAAGGGATGGGAAATAAGAGTAGGAGAGAAGGTTAGAAAGGAAGGAAGAAAGGAGGAAGGGGAGAAAGGAAGGGGAAGTAGAGAAGGAGTAGGAGAGGAGGAAAGAAGAAAGTAGGAAAGGATAAAAGAAGGGAGGGAAGGGAAAGAGAGAAGAAGGGGAAGAAGGATTGTTGTAAAATAAAAAAGATGAAATGGTAAAAGAGCCACCCCAAACATGTATAAATTTATTAGGATGAAGAATGAATCAAAATGAAAGTGAAAAGAAAATATATATGGTTAATAATGAAGAAATTAGAATTTAAGGGCGGAAGAAGATGTTCTTTATACAATAAGCATAGAAATATTAAGATAAGTTTAAAAAGTATGGAAAAAATATTTTGGCAAAAATTGTAACTATGTAAAATGTATTTGGAGATGATAAGTTGTATAAGATATGATATGGTCAATTCTCTGTTCATAAGATATGTGGGTGTGTGAGGAAAAAATCAATAAAACTTGATTTAAAAAAAAAGATATAACAAGAAGAAAAAGCCCTAGGGAAGGAGACAGTCCTTGCAATGGTTGTTCAATTAGTTAAAGCTGGGTATCTCTAACTGAGTAGCCACTACACAATCTCATACCTTATTTTACCAGGGTGGGGGATGGGGATGAGACTATAGTATAGATCAGTGATGGCTAACCTTCTTGCCATCACGTGCCAAAAGCAGGGGGAGCGTGGGGGCGTCGCGCGTGCGTGCCCACATGCATAATTCAAAGTGCCCCAACCCCCACGCATGCACACACGACCCCCCGCCCTCCCCCTGCTTTTGGCATGTGATGGCACGGTGGGCCAGGTAGGCCAGTTTTTCACCCTCCCCAAGCTTCAGAGGCTTTCTTGGAGCCTGTGGAGGGTGAAAATGGTCTCCCCCCACCCGGAGGCCCTTCGGAGGCCAGAAATGGCCTGTATCCCAACTTCCGGTGGGCCCGGAAGGCCCAAAAATCAGCTTGCCAGTGTGCGCATGCGCACTGGAGCTGAGCTAAGGCAACGCTCACGTGCTCACAGAGATGGCTTCGTGTGCCACCTGTGTATAGGTAGTCCTTGACTTATGACCACAATTTAGACCAGATTTCTTTTGTTATTAATCAAGGCAGTTAAAAATCAGTTGAACCTAATTTTATGACCGTTTTTGCCATGATTGTTAAGCGAATCACTGCAGTTAAGTGAATCAGGCAGTCATTAAGCGAATCTGAATTTTCCCCACTGACTTTACTTGCTGGAAGCCAGCTGGGAATGTCATAAATGGCAACCACATGACCTTGGAATGCTTCAACTGTTGTGAATACATGCCAGTTGCCAAGCACCTGAATTTTGGGCATGCTGCAACAGTTACATTTGCAAGGACTGGTTGCAAGTCACATTTTTCAATGCCGTTATAACTTCAAATGGTCGCTGAATAAATTATTGCAATTTGAGTGCTACCTTTATACAGAAGGAAACTGGTAAATAATGAAGAAAAGAAAAATAATGAAGAGCTTGACAACCCTCATTATTTTTAGAGCATTGCAGTGAAAAAAATAGAGTTTCTGAGTTAAAAACTTCCTACTGATTCTGTTTCAGACATGTGTAAAAATGGAGTTGAGTAAATATGTTTTTTCCCCCCAACAAAACAGTGGGTGCTATCGTAGAAAAGAGTCTTCTTCTGTATCCTGATAGTCAGAGTTCTTTGACCTACAGGATCTGAAGTAGGCCCTCTCTGCCAGTATGAGTAGGATGGGTTTGTCCTGGCAGGACAAGGTGGTTCATCAGGTAGCCTGGACTGATGCCATCAAGGGCTTTAAGGGTCATAACCAACACCTTGAACTGCACTTGGAAGGACACTGGTAGCCAGTGAAGTTTGCAGAGCAGAGGTATAATATGGTCCATTCTAGGGCCCCAAAGGCTGCTCTTGTTCCTGCCCTTTGCACTAGCTGAAGCATCCAAATGGACTTCAAGCATTGAAGTCCCATGTACTGTAGATTGCATTGCAATAGTCCAGGTGAGAGGTGACCAGGGCTTGAGTAACTGAGCCCATGAAGTCATGTTCCAAGTGCACAAACAGGAACTGTGGAAAAGCCACCTGCTCTTTGAGCAGGACAATGTGAGTCCAAGAGAACTTCTAGGTTGCAAACTGGATCTGAAAAGGGTATTGCAACCTCATCCAAAACTAAAAATGACAAAACATTCAGATCCTGAGGCTCCATGCACCCAAAGCCACTCAGTCTTGTTATCCCTCATCTAGATCCCTACAGCCTCCAGGCATTGTGAGAGGACAGAGACAGCATCATGTGGCAGGGAATCAAGTGCCTTCCTTTAATTAATCCAAGCTATGATCAAGTTGGTCTTCCTTCTTTTTTTCCAAAATCATCTTGTCAGTTAGGAGCTGATATTTTGTTCCTCTGCTGTTGAGCAGTTTCCTTTCTGCTCAAGTGGAAAGAGCTTGTTTTCAACTAGATGCTGTTGGACTGCAGCAATTACGACACCAGTTATTATTATTGTGGTTAGTTTCACAGTCAGCCAGATGTTTAGATTAAATTTGGCATTTTTATCTACACATTGATTCTTGTTGTTATTATTACTGTTTGCAAATTCATCTGGAGAGTTT